CACACCTGCATCGCTCAAACATGCATCGACACTAGCAGAAATCTCCAGGGCCATGGCACAAGAGAAGACGGAAAGAAACCATAATGGTCAATCATTTCAGCCACAATGGCTGAGAGTACATGTACATGTTTGTATATACCTGCATGAGACCCCTTCCAACCAACCTGCTTCATGCACTGGCAAGACCAACTTGCAATCCTTGCCTTCGAAGTAGCCTGAGTTCTGTGCTCGTGTGCTGCACAGTTTACTTTAACTCTTGCGTGCAACCATGCAAGAGAACGGCACCCAACAACCTCACAAAGCGAATGCAGCAAGCGCCTTGGCGGTTGCCAGAGCAATGGCAGGCACATCCATGTTCCTTGCTCTTTGGCTCATGAAGGCAACTTACCGCTTCCCTCAGAGGCCAATGCCTGAAAAAATGTTTGGCCTGCCAACTTAGTCAACACTCCGGCGGGCAAAAGGCCCAAAGTAGCTCAAAGAACAAAAGCGCCCAATCTGTGAACAGTGTAGACCCAGCTCTGTTCCTGACTCCTTCGCAGGCCCAGTACTCACAGTGTATACCCGGGGCCGCAGGCAGTTGTGCCCTCGTGCCATGACACAACATGATGCCACAGAACACCTTGCACAAGCTCTGTGCAATCAAGAAGTGTGAAGATCCACCTGTACGTCAAACAAAAAATCAAGCGATGCACAGGGAAAGAACTGAATTCACATGCTACACTGCTGATAGTAAAACTCTTGCACGATGCTCACTGGCTGAATGACTGTCTTTGTCACGACTACTAGAACCAACATCAAAAGGAATAACATGCCTGGCTTGGTTGCGATGATGAAGCCCAGGTTCACCCACTTCTGGAGCATTTCTAGCTTCTCCTCGCGGCCTTTGCGCATTCACACTTCAAAGAATCGGATGAGAAGCTCTCGCGAAAGCTCAACCCAAGTTTGAGGTTTAGCACTTCAGGCTCAGGGCAACAGTTGCCTACCATCTTTAGGCTCATCGACTGTGCATTTCTTCAGCCGATTGAAGATGATCTAAGCTAGACTGAAGTTTGTTCACCACGGCCATCGCTTTACAAGATCACTGGATCCCAGCAGGAGTGCCATTTGGGGCCCAGTTCTTCGCACGGGAATTGAGACCTGCTTGATGGCTGAAGTCTGAGCGAGAATTGGTAGGGTTTCAATTTTGGGCCAGGGCACTGCAGGAGTCGAAGTCCTCCCATTGCTGAAGCATGTCTTCATGGCCTCTGCCTGGCTTCGACATCTCCTTGGTTTACAGTTTACTTCTCTATCTCACTCATAGGAGCTACCAAGGAGGGTACGTCTTACAAAACTGACATGTAGCTTACGCTTAAACCTCAGTGACCCTAGCTAGGGCTAGGAACACGGCTCGGCTCGAGGGCCTGCAACATAATTACTGATGCATCTCTTCTTTGTCCTATCCCCTAATCAAACTCAATTCCAAGGCTCAATCCCGTCCATGGCGATGACTGTGTGGCACAACAAGTCAGTCTAAACACGAAGCGCCAAGTTCATCACATGCGAGAATGACCTTCAATGCCGGATTTTGCGTTTCTGTATGAAGTGATTATTTACCGGAACATGACATCTGCATGAGAGATGTCTGCTTCCATGTTGCAGACGCGTTTTTCACTTGAGCGTCCATGACTTGATAATGACCTCTCAGAGGTCATCTTGTTCAGCAGGGCAGCTTCCACAGAGAGGGCAACCTACCACGCGCAGCTACGAGATGCCGACACCAGGCCTCTATGCGGTCAGCTCAAGTCGGGTATCCAAATCGTAAAAACGTTAAATAGAAACTCACCATTTCACGAACTAAGTGCAATTCGTGGTAGTCTGATTGCCTGGTACACCCGTGTACTGCGTTCCGCCTAGTCGTGTGTGTCCTGAGGCTGTGCAAAAGGATTTTCTGGAGCTTTTTTGCGACAAGCTACACGCTCAAAGCTCAGAGTCTATGCATGCGAGGCATTGCATAAGCACCCGAATGCCAATGAGCCAAACAACTCCCCCTTGCCATGCCATGACTACAGCTTCCTACATGCAACGGAAGAAGTATTCGGGTCTATGCGGTCCTGCAGGCTGATATGGAAATTCTGTACCGAAGGTACCCCCTTCGTATAGTATGTGAAGGCATCCCACAACCGACTTTCTTGTGCAGGAAGTTCTGCCGGATTCTCTTCGCGGTAACATGAAATCCTTTCAGATACAAGGAGTCAAGTAAGTCAGTAAATAGCAGGGCAACCATTCTGCATCTGCAGGGACTTCTGAAACGGCCACGCTGGCCATGGAGGCTAATTAGGAGCGCATCCTTGCTGCTTGACAGCATTTTGCGCGTCAGATGCATGAGGGGCCCCGGAACAAAAAACACAGCAGAATTGCTAGGCGCTTTGATTGTCCCATACACAACGTCCATGTGTCTCATCCTGGCCGGCAGAGTCAGGGCGCGGGCCCAAAGACATCAGTGCCAGGGCAGAGCCTGACAAAGCATCTAGGAATCTAGGATAACGGAGGGCTTCTGGCGCTGCAATTGCTACCTTACTCTAATGCTCGCGGCCATAGCTATACAGCTTTGAAAAACACATTCCACAATCCTACCTCTGGCATGCCGCATCCAACTTCAAATTCTCCACCTTCCTCAAAATCATCATTGAGGTTCTGAACCCCCAGCTCCCATACCTGACGAGGTAGCCCAAAAACATTGGGTTTTCTTGTGTGAGAAGCGATTACAAAACCAGTGAAGCCCTGAATTGGAGAACTCCAATGCTCAGGATGCAGACGTGCCCCGCAAGCCTGGCACACGTTGCGTTGTTAACGTTGAACTTCTTGACCTGAAAGATATGAAAGGAGGAGTGATGAAAAATGCTCAGCAGATTGAGCAGATGAACTTGCGGAGCACGATAACCTTTGCGAGCAAACAGCATATTATGGAATAAGAATAGTTTAGCTATGATGACTCTACGGCGGTTGTGAGCTCACACAAAGAGTTTTCTTTTCTTCTGCGAATGAGCAAGCAGCAAAGATTGAGACTAAAGCCGTTGTGAGCTCACAGGACTTCCGCAAATATCAGAGCTGATGCTCGTCTGTGAGGCTCCGGGGTTGAGCGATTTGTGTTAGCAAGGGTTTTTCAGCAACAACAGCTGTCTCGCCCTTGCTCTCTGGCCGTGTCATTTTCGCACATCTTCATGTTGATGCACGTTGTTTCTACAGAGCTATCCGTTCCAGCAGCCGGCAGATCCGCTTTTCGATTGTGATGTGTTTCAGCTTTGGGGATGGCTACTCAAAGCACCGCTGCTTCGGAAGACTGGTTCCAGCCCATTATTTGCCCTACATCGAGCCTGGGCAGCCCCCAGCAGTTTCTGCAGAATCCCAATGCTAACAAGTTGCATTGCTCCAGAACATGGCAGATGCACGCGTGTAGATCTCACTGTCAAAGGGATCCTCGCAGCAGGAGAGGGGGTCACTTAGCCAACCTTTTTCCAGGTGACTCAGCCAACTCGGATCCCGCAACGGTTCAGGTCACTTAGCAAACACTTTTGCGGGTCACTTAGCCAACTCAGGATTCAGGGACAGCCTGAAGGGTCTTGTGCGTAGCGTTGAGGGGTTTTGGATTTAGCATTTAGGGTTTCGGGTCTGGGGGCTTTGAATTTAGGGTTTAGGGGTTCTGGATTTATAATTTAGGGTTTGGGAGTTCTGGATTTAGGGTTAGGGTTAGGGATTTAGGGTCTGAGGGTTCTGGATTTTAGGTTTAGGGTGTAGGGGTTTTGGATTTAGGGCTTAGGGGGTTGGCATTTAGCGTTTAGGGATAAGGGTTTAGGGGTTCTGGATTTAGGGTTTTGGATTTAAGGTTTAGGGATAAGGGTTTAGGGGTTTTGGATGCTGCCACAAGCTAGCCTTCAAGATGGCCCTTTTGGCCCGTGTTGCCAGATCTGATCCTAACGCAGCCTACATGTTGATCCGAAGACAGCTCCTCGTGCGCCAAGCGGCCAACAAAAAGGTTTGCCAAGCAACCCCTAACAAGTAGGACTACCTCTGCTGCCATGGGCGCAGCTGCAGGCAGCTTGTTTTCCAGCATGCAGCTTCCACACACCAAGAAGGTTTACAGCTGTCCCTGTCTCTGAACTTGCATCTGCCCTCTCCTCGTCGCCCTGCAGAGCTCTCGACAACTCCAGGGGATCCTGGCATTAGATTAGGGGATGTTCTTTCAGGAATCGCGGGCTCGGATGTGCAACTTGTCAGCGATGCGTAGTGCAGCTCAGCAAAGCAAAATGAACGTCTTTATGCCATTGACTGACAAAGTCTGATTACTACTCCCTCTCATGGGTCAGAAGTTGTCACGTTTCATTGTAATCGGTGCTTGTCCACGGTGCTCGTAACTCAGCAACGGATTTAGCTAATTGGGCCCACTTTTCTTGTTTAGATCCTGGGTGCCTCTGTGTCTCGTGGGTTGAGACACAACTTGGCCTGGAACCACTTACTCAATGCCCCTACTTCACATGAACATTGGCTTGCTGTTTCGCCCTCTTCCAAGATTCCGAGCTGGTAAAACAAAAGGCAACCTCTATATACACCAGTTTCCATTTCATTTTCTATTTTATTTTCCATTTGATTCTCCATTATTGGGGAATTATATATCCCCATATTACCCCTTAAATAACCCTAAATACCCTAGTATACTATCCCCATATTACTGAAGGCTCTGAAATGCTGTGGGATGCTCAGATATTCTTCCCCATGCTGCCGCAAGGGAACTCGCAGGGGCTTTTCTATCTCTGAAGATGATAGAATCCCTGCCAAGAACCTTGATCCTCACAGGTCCAGACTGTCCGGATTCTAGTTCCTAATGCCTGATACCTTCAGGACTTGAACCCTTTGAAGCTTTCTGTGGACAACGCCCCACACACTTCGAGATGAAAGCCCTTGCGCTGAATCAGGCTTGGTTGGCCTGGTGCTCGACTCCCTTCCGCATGTTCACGAACCTGCCCAGGGCTCTTAGGCTTGGTTTGCAGGGGTTCGTAGATAGAGGATTTTTCCAATTTTGCATATGTGGCCTCGGTAGCCTGGTCACAATGATTGATGGAGGATAAGTGGATTCTATAAGAATCTCATATCAGACTTGTGAAGGAACAATCATCGTTTTGGTCTGGTTTGATTGCGTCGCTCCTTTGCAATCCCTATCTTGCTTGCTCGTGGCTGCAGCAAAAAGGAGCATGAATGGAATGTGATCTCATGGACGGCTTGGGTCCGTTTCGGACTTGCTTGCAGTATGATGAATTTTTTTGAAAAGACCGAAGAAATCTAGTGGCAAGTGCACCTTCAACGCAACTTACAAGCATGGGCTCAGATGGGTCTTGAACTTGTGGTCTCTGTTGTTTAAACAGTTATAGTGCTAATCTTCCTACTTTGACACTTGAGCCCGAACTGGTCGCCAAACTGGCTACACGCCTTGAAGGCTGTTTACTGCTCACTACGCCTTCGTGCAATGACTTTGCAGCTGAATGCTGACCAGGAAGCTCGATGGGAAGGCATTTTCCACCGAACATCGCCTGAAGCTGATGCCAACTTTGCTGTTCGGATTTTGCTTCTTTTTGGATGTTTTTTCCTGGACAGGGGTATGATGCACTTCGCACTGACGTCTTCTTGCAAAAGACAAATCCTAAACCACCAGGAAAGCTCAAACGTCAGAGCAGTGCATTCGAAAGGGCGTCCCTGCAAAGCTGAGCACCCGAAAAGAAGACATCCTCGTTTCTGTAGTGGTCCCCCTCATAACCGCAAAGCTATCTTGTAAGCTTCCTCGACCTTCGTCATTCCTAGCCAGTTTTCATTTGCATCCATTTTAAATAATCGTTTCTCATGCACTTAGATCTAAGGGCAATCAAGCCAAATCTCCATGTCCTGCTAGGAACAAGAAGTTCCAAAATATCCATTGGGATTTACGATTGCGCAGGATGCCTCAAGCTTTACGCTAGTTGTTCATCAACAAGCCTTCAGTACATCCAGTGCATCAACACCAGTCGAGTTTCGTGGAAGAGGCAAACGGACAGGGCGAACTGCTCTACAAGCCCGACGAAGGCAAAGGCTTCCAGCCTTCCAAGCCGGCATGTAATGACTTTGCGGGTGCAAGGTCAAGGGCGGAAGCAGAGAGGGAAGGAGGGAGGGAGGGAGGGAAAGAGAAAGAGAGGAGAAAGAGTGCTAGAGCTGCCAAGGAGAGAGAAAGACGAACCAACAGCTAGAAAGACAGAAGCGAAACAAGAATAATAATAATAAGAAACAACAGATGGTTGAATAAATGACTAGATAGCTAGATGCCTAGATATCTAGGTAGACAGTCAGCTCGACAGATAGACGGAAACATGCCGCAGTACGTGCACTACAGAGCAAAATATGCAACGGCACTTTTTTGATGCGGATGGGAATCGCCTGTATCGGCGGGGGGTCCGCAGACGCCCCAAATCCCGGGGCCGGAGGGGCGCATCTGCTCCCCACCCGGCCCGGGATGGGCGTAGGGACCCACCCATGTCCAAAGTGCAACGCCTATAGAGGCGGATGATGAAATGAGATGAACCGCCTGTGTTGGGCGGGTGGGACAAAATTGGCGGTTCGAGCAATCAGGCTGCGGTGC